GGGCAGCCCTGAGTCTGGGGTTGAATGAAATGGGTTTGGACCCCAAGTGCTGTTTGGAACGCTTTGATTGGCCAAACGGTGGGAACCGTTTCGTTCCGGTTCCTCCCCGACTGACATTTTTCCCACTTTTTCGGAATTGCCCCCCCGCCCGGAGAGAAGAACCGGCTCTGCCCCGAGCCCTGCGCACGGCAGAACCCGGCGCGGAGCCCTGAGTCTGGGGTTGAATGAAATGGGTTTGGACCCCAAGTGCTGTTTGGAACGCTTTGATTGGCCAAACGGTGGGAACCGTTTCGTTCCGGTTCCTCCCCGACTGACATTTTTCCCACTTTTTCGGAATTGCCCCCCCGCCCGGAGAGAAGAACCGGCTCTGCCCCGAGCCCTGCGCACGGCAGAACCCGGCGCGGGGCAGCGAAATACACCCCTGGGCGCGGACGGGGCCCTGAAACGGACGCAGCATTTCTCAGTGGCAAGAGCCAGGGGCTTTGGGAGACGTCTGTGTGAAAGGGGAGGGGGAGTCAGGCCCGCGAAGGGGGTCCAGGCACAGGGCGAGGGCAGCCGGTGACCCCAGTGACATCAGTGGAAGCGGATGGGTGCTTAGCAACTTTGAAAATCTGGCTACTTGTTTCGACACCAAAATCTTGGTTTCAGAGCCAGATTGTAGACACCTGGGCTACGTCTAGACTGGCATGATTTTCCGGAAATGCTTTTAACGGGAAAGTTTTTCCGTTAAAAGCATTTTCGGAAAAGAGCGTCTAGATTGGCACGGACGCTTTTCCACAAAAGCACTTTTTGCAGAAAAGCATCCGTGGCCAATCTAGACGCGCTTTTCTGCAAAAAAGCCCCGATCACCATTTTCGCCATCGGGGCTTTTTTGCGCAAAACAAATCTGAGCTGTCTACACTGGCCCCTCTGTGCAAAAGTTTTGTGCAAAAGGGACTTTTGCCTGAACAGGAGCAGCATAGTATTTCTGCAAAGAGCACTGATTTCAGACAGTAGGAAGTCAGTGCTTTTGCGGAAATTCAAGCGGCCAGTGTAGACAGCTGGCAAGTTTTTCCGGAAAAGCGGCTGATTTTCTGGAAAAACTGGCCAGTCTAGACACAGCCCTCATCTTTAAAATCTTGGCCACTGCACTTGGCAAATATCATCCATTTAGGACCTTTCCTCACCCGTGAGTAGGGACCTGCCATTGAGCTCTGTTTCGGCAGGGAGGTAAACCGAAGTTTGGAGGGACTTTGGGGATATGCTGTGATCCCCGGATTAGACGTACAACCAGGAGCTAGGAGAAACCACCTTAACCCTAGCTCTAGCTATGTCTACACTGTGGCTATGTCTACACAACAAGTTTTCTCTGCAAAAAATGTGCTAACGAGGGACTCATTTGCATGAGTCGTGATCTCATGTGCATATTTTCTGCCGAGCTGTTTTTTTCGCTAGAGTTTTCGCGCAAAAACAAGCAGTGTGGATGTTTTCTTTTTGCACAAAACCCCCTTTTCCAGCAAGAAAAGGGTTCTGGCGTGGGTTAGGGGTTTGGGCGCTCACCTGGGGAGGGTAGGATAGTTGGTTCAAGTCCCCCCTCTCTCGTGAAGTGGCCAGAGGCAGGGAGCATAAAGGACCTGCCAGAAATAGGGCAGTAGGGGTGGATTCCGGCATGGCTTAGGGGATAAGGCGTTCGCCTGCAGAATGCATGGTGGTGGGTTTGAGTAACGCCCCCTCTGCCTGCCAGGGAAGAGACTGTGGAGCTAACACAGGTCTCCTGAAGGCTCTTGCAGGAAAAGGGGGTTTTGTGCCAAAAGAAAACATCCACACTGCTTGTTTTTGCGCAAAAACAAGCAGTGTGGGGCTACGTCTAGACTGGCATGATTTTCCGGAAATGCTTTTAACAGAAAAAACGTTTCTGTTAAAAGCATTTCCGGAAAATCATGCCAGTCTAGACGTAGCCCCACACTGCTTGTTTTTGCGCAAAAACAAGCAGTGTGGGGCTACGTCTAGACTGGCATGATTTTCCGGAAATGCTTTTAACAGAAAAAACGTTTCTGTTAAAAGCATTTCCGGAAAATCATGCCAGTCTAGACGTAGCCCCACACTGCTTGTTTTTGCGCAAAAACAAGCAGTGTGGGGCTACGTCTAGACTGGCATGATTTTCCGGAAATGCTTTTAACAGAAAAAACGTTTCTGTTAAAAGCATTTCCGGAAAATCATGCCAGTCTAGACGTAGCCCCACACTGCTTGTTTTTGCGCAAAAACCCCAGTGAAAAAGAACAGATCGGCAGAAAAGATGCAAATGAGATCACGACTCATGCAAATTAGTCCCTCATTAGCATATTTGTTGCCAAGAAAACTCGTAGTGTAGCTGTAGCCACTGGGTACAATGGAACTGTAGCGATGTTGCTGGATCGCCATAGTATATAGACACTTTCTATAGCGGCAGAAGGGGTTTTTCCATCGCCTTCATGTAATCCACTCCCCGAGCAGCAGTAGGCAGGTCGATAAAAGCGTTCGTCTGTTGATGGAGCTGCATCGACACTGAGGGGAAAAACTTGAACAACGCGTGGTCCTGTAGCACCTTGGAGACTAAGAAAAAATATATAGATGGCATCACGAGCTTTCGTGGGCACAGCCCACTTCTTCAGAGGAGTGGAGCAAGGGGCACAGAGGGATAAATATAAAACAAAACGAGGGGAGGAGAAACAACAAAACCCCGTCAGTTGCAGTGCCCGTGCTCCGTGAGGCTAATAGAGTGGGCTGGAAATGCCCCCTACTTAGCTTTTGATGCCATTTGGGTGTTCAGTCCCCAGGTGGATGTACACAAGAAGAGCAGACCTGCCGTCTCTCTCTCTCTCTAGCAGGGCCCTGAGATTATTCTGCAAGAGAACGGCCACTTTGAAACCCATCACGGAGTGCCTGGGCTGGTCAGAATCTTCCCCGACAGGTTCCTGCGTGCTACCATTTCCGGTGGCTGAGCTGTGTCCATCAACCTGTGGAACTCCTTGCCAGAGGAGGCGGTGAAGGCTAGGACTATAATAGAGTTTAAAGAGAAGCTGGATAAATTCATGGAGGTTAGGTCCATAAAAGGCCATTAGCCAGGGGATAAAATGGTGTCCTTGGCCTCTGTTTGTCAGAGGCTGGAGCGGGATGGCAGGAGACAAATCGCTTGATCATTGTCTTCGGTCCACCCTCTCTGGGGCACCTGGTGCTGGCCACTGTCGGCAGACAGGCTACTGGGCTAGATGGACCTTTGGTCTGACCCAGTACGGCCGTTCTTATGTTCTTATGTATCAACCTCTCACTGCCCCTAGGCAGAGGAGCTGCCCGCCAACTGAACCGCCCTGGAAACGGGGGAGAAAAATGTTCCTCAACCCGCCGATTTCTCCCTGTGTCCAATCTCAGCCCCGCTGGGTCTGGGCCTGTTCATTCCTCCCGACGTGGGGCTGCCAGCCCCACAGAACTGGGCTGGAGACTGTCATGTGATGGGAATGCCACGTGGGCCAGCCTGGCCCGGAGCAGTGTGATGGGCGCGGAGGGGACAGGGTGGGGGAAGCGGAGGCAGGTAGGGACGGAGCTGAAAGGTTAGGGCGGCCTCCGAACTGCCTGCCTCTCCCCCGCGCGCTGACCTTTGCTTGGCGGGCTCTTGTCTCCTTGCATGAGATGATCAGGCGCAGGACGTGAGTCGTGTGGCTTGCCGCGGAGCGGGGGTGGCGTCACGGCCGGCGGTCGAGCCAGCTGAGAGCGTGGGCAGGATCCCTGTGCGGGCAGCAAAGCGGAGTAACTCTTCCAGGGGGCGGCAGGCAGAGATTGTGTAGCACGCCGGAGGGGACCACTGTCCCTTTGCAAATGTCGCGGTAAGGTCACGCGGCGGCTAGCGGGTCTCTCTGCCCCCCGACAAGGGGGCTACGTGGCACCGATCAACTCAGATCCCGTCTGACTGACGATCACAAACACTTAGAGTGAAGTTTTCCCAAGAGACGAGGGATCTGGACCAGGGGGTTGGACTCAGTGATCTTCTGACGTCTCTTCCAACCTTAGGAGTCTAGGATTTGGGGTGTCTCAGTTCACAGGAGAACCACTTGAGATAAGAATCATCACACTAGGTCAGACCAACGGTCCATGTAGCCTCATGTCCTGTCTGCCCACAGTGGCCAATGCCAGGGGCCCCAGAGGGAGGGAACACAACAGTGATCCCTCCCCTGTCTCCCATTTCCAGACAAACAGAGGCTAGGGACACCATCCTTACCCATCCTGGCTAATAGCCATTGATGGACCTCCATGAATCTATCCAGCACTTTTTTGAACCCTGTAGAAGTCCTGGCCTGCACACCATCCTCTGGCAAGGAGTTCCACAGGTTGACTGCGTGCTGCATGAAGAAATACTTCCCTTTGTTTTAAACCTGCTACCGATTAATTTCATTTGGTGACCCCTAATTCTTATGATTTCAGAGGGGTATGTTATGGGAACAAGTAAATAACTTTTCCTAATTCACTTTCTCCACACCTGTCATGATTTTATAGACTCTATCCTATGCCCCCCTAGTCTCCTCCTTTCTAGGCTGAAAAGTCCCAGTCTTTTTAATCGCTCTTCAGAGGGCAGCTGTTCCAAACCCCTCGTCATTTTTGTTGCCTTTTTCTGAACCTTTTCCAATGCCAAGAGAGCTTTTTGGAGATGAGGCGACCACATCTGTACGCAGTATTCAAGCTGTGGGCGCACCATGGATGTATAGAGGCAATAAGAGATTCTCTGTCTTATTCCCTGTTCTTTTTTTAATGATTCCTAACATTTTGTTTGCTTTTTTGACAGGCGCTGCACATGGAGTGGATGTTTTCAGAGACCTACACTCCACGCTCTCTCTCTCGAGCGGGTAAATGAGATGCCTTCGCAGGGCTTGGTTTTCTGAGGTCAGTTTCTCAGCACGGTCTGACCCCCCCGGCCTTTCGCAGTGTCTTCGGCGGAGTCCCCAAAACTGGACTTGGTTTTGATTCATATGGCACCGCAGACACTGACAGAACACAAAAATGGATCACAAAATTGCAGCTGGCTCTGCGCTCCGATGCTCACCCCTCCCCCGGGCGAGTGGCCTGATTTGTGTTACCCACAGGTTGGCTACGTCTACATTGGCAAGATTTTGCGCAAATACTTTTCACGCAAAAGTTTTTGCGTTAAAGTATTTGCGCAAGAGAGCGTCTGCACTGGCATGTGCTTTTGCGCAAGAGATGTGCTTTTGCACAAAAGCATCCGGCGCAAGAAATTCATGGTGGCCGTCTACACTGGCCTCTTGCGCAAGAACAGTTGCACAAGAGGGCTTCTTCCGGAGCGGAAGCATCATAGTCCTTGCGCAAGAAGCCCTGATTTCTTACATTAGAACGTCCGTGTTCTTGCGCAAGAACTCCCCGCCAGTGTAGACAGGCAGCATGTTTTTGCGCAAGAGCGGCCGCTTTTGTGCAAGATCATGCTAATGTAGACACAGCTGTGGTGCGTTGTCAGCAGGCATTGTGGGGCAAGGCCTCTTCTAGTGAGTTGTACCAGCATCTGGTGCAATTGGCTTCCCGGAGGTGCTGCACAGGCTACATCTACCCTGCGCATTTTTGCGGCAGAAAATATGCTAATGAGGGACTCATTTGCATGAGTCGCCATGTCATTAGCATATTTTCTGCTGTTTCTTTTTGTGCAAGGGGTTTTTGCACAAACAGGAAACGTCCCCACTGCTTCTTTTTGCGCAAAAACCCCTTTGTGCAAAAAGTAACAGCAGAAAATATGCTAACGGCATTGCGACTCATGCAAATAAGTCCCTCGTTAGCATATTTCTGCCGCAAATAGGCGCAGGGTGGACGTAGCTTCAGATAGGGTTGCCAGGTGTCCGGTATTTTCACCTCCTATCCGGTAAAAAAAATTCAGAAAATACCGAACACCTAAAATGTCCGGTATTTTCTGGGTTTTTTCCCCTGCCAGGAGGCGAAAATACAGGACACCTGGCAACCGTATGAGACACTCAGTCCCCGTCCCCTCCCCCGAGCCTCTGCTTACCTGGTTCCGCAGGGAAGCTACCTTCTGACTCGACCAAGAAAACAAGATGGCCAGGAGACCAGCAAAAAGCCTAAAGACCTGAAGCAAGGGGAAACACTGCCTTCCCTGGGTGTTAGTGCTCAACCTCTCCCCTCTTCCTTTCCCTATTCTGACTCTGCACCTACTTGAAGGGGCCATGCTGTTTTAATGCTGTTTGCGGGGTGGGTGGGTTGTTTAATAACTCTCAGGATTTTTTTTTTTTTGCTCAACAACTTTGGTCTCCCCCCTTTTACCCCCCTCAACAGACTTTTTTCCCCATTTATTTTTGCGGCGGACGGGGGGGGGTTTGGTATTTTTGGTTAAATCATCTGGCAATCCTAAAAAAAACCCATGTCCATGTTTCTCTTGGATGGAAGGCCAGTGGGGACAATCTTCCCTTGCCACGTCTGGCGTGGGGGAAACGAGGAGCGAGGGGATTCTTAAAGGTGCAGTACCAGGTTTTTTTTTTTTTTTTTTTTTACACTCAAGTTTGGTCTCCCAGGTTTTCTTTTGTTTTGCCATGTTCGGGATTTTGGTGAAAGCATCTGGCAAGCCCACCCTCCAGGTCCGTGTGTGGTGCCCAAGCCCTGACCACAATCCATTAGCAGCAGCTCCCTGTGCTCGCACAGAGTCGAGGCACCTGGTGGTAGGAAGCAGGGCATGGATGGAGCCTCGTTCTTTCCCGAGGACCTCAAATGGGGAGCTTCTGGCTGTGGGGGCCGGGGAGGGGGCTTAGAAAGGGAGAGCGAGAAGCTGGCCCCCGCGGGGGGATTAGCACCATGGCGTGACTTTGCAGGAACGAGGCAGTGAACAAATCCGGGCTGGCAGGGGGCGTATTCCTTGCTCCCGCTAAACGTCTCAAGACGTGGCTCATTAAAAAGTGATCTGTGCGTGTGTAATTGACATTATTGTCGGGCGGCTCAGTGGCTGGTTTTCAAGGCAGAGCGTGGCCCAGGGAAGTAAGCCCACGGCCACTTTGTATTCATCTTTAATGGGAGGAATTAATGAAGGATCTTCTCATGATACTAATGAATAATACCCCCTCCCTCGTCGCTGGGCGATCGCAAAGCGCTTTTCACAGGAGAGCAGGATCACTGGCTCTAGTCCACAGATGGGGAAACTGAGGCACGGGACGTGCCCAAGGATTTACCTGTCTCCCCCCACAAACTATATAGCTGGCTTAAACTGCAGCAAGGGAGGTTTAGGTTGGACATTAGGAAAAACTTCCTACCTGTCAGGGGAGTGAAACACTGGAATAAATTGCCTAGGGGGGTGGTGGAATCTCCATCGCTGGAGACTTTTAAGAGCCTGATGGACAAACACCCTTTAGGGACAGAATCTAGCCTATAATCGGAGACCTGCCTTGAGTGCAGGGGACTGAACTAGAGCTCTGAGGCTCTGTCTACCCTGCCGCGCTATTTCAGGAGACCAGAGGTAACCCGAGATCGCTGTCCTGCGTCCTTTGAGAGCGCCCGTTATTTTGAAATAGACCGGGCTCGACATCCCTGTAAACCTCGTTCCACAAGGAGCAAGGGGCGTTTCGGAATAGCGGGTGATTTCAAAGTAAGTGTGGAGTCGACACTGCATCGCTCACATTGCATAGCTTATTGCGAGCTCCGGTGCAGTATAGACGCCCCCTCGGGGTCCTTTCCTGCCCTGTGGGAATTCCTTTCACTCGGGGATGTCACATGCCGATGCCAATAGTTCAGCGGGGGTTGATTTATTTATCAGCCTCCTGTGACTGGAGTAGCCCAGTGATGAGGAATCTGTCCTGCAGACAGAGTTGCTTTTGCTTTCTTTGTGCTCTGTGTATGCGTAGCTGTGTGTGCATCTGAGGGTGTGCGTGTGCATTTGAAAATGTGTGTGAGGCTGAGTGTGTGTTTCTGAGCGTAGTTGTGTGTGCACATGTGTGCATGCATGAGTGGTTGCATGTGCTTTTGAAAATGTGTGTGTGCAGCTGAGTGTGTGAGTGAGTGTGAGTGCATCTGAATGTGTGTGTACACGTGTGCGTACACCTGAGTGTGCATGTGCATTTGAAAAATATGCATGTGTGTGCATGTGTCTGTACACCTGAGTGTGTCTCTGTGTGTGTGAGTGCGTGTGTGCATCTGAGTGTGTGTGTTTGAATGTGTGTCTGTGTGTGTGTGTCTGTATGTGCGCATGTGTGCATCTGTGAGTGTGTTTCTGTGAGTTTGAGTGTCTGTGTGTGCATGTGCATCTGTGTGTGTGTGTCTGTGTTTGAGTGTGTGTCTGTGTGTGTGTTTGCGTGTGTGTCTCTGTGTGAGTGTGTCTGTGTGTGTGCCTGTGTGTGACTGTGTGTATGTGTCTGTGTGTGTGTGTCTCTGTGTGTATGTCGGTGTGTGAGTGTGTGTGAGTGCATCTTAGTGTGTGTGTGTCAGTGTGTGTGTCTGTGTGTGTGTTTGCGTGTGTGTCTGTGTGTGAGTGTGTCTGTGTGGCCGCTCTCCCCTCTGCAGAAGGCCTCGAGGGGCTCGCGGGAGCGATTCGCACTAGTGCCTTCCGTGCGAGGCCCCGGGCAGACAACAGCGAGTCAAATCGCACGGCTCAGCCTGGGCAGAGAACGGGGAACTATCATGCTGCCCCCGCCCCACGCCAGCTCCCCCCAGTCATCCCAGAGGCCGTGTCCTCAGGGATGGGGTGCCCTGGGGGGGAGAGGGCGGGGCAGTGGTGCAAAGGGGCGGGGCTTGAGGGACAGAAATGGACAGGCCTCCCCTCCCCGCCCACCTGGACTCCCGCAGGCCGGGGGTTTGAGACCCCTGATCAAGAACATCCAAGAAACCAACGGAAATTGAAGCAGGCCAGGTCCCACGGGAGTTCCCTAAAGTTGAGGCTGAGTCCGCCTGAGTCGCGGTGTCCTGGGTCACTGCATTGATACAGCCGAAAGCAACAGTGTCTCGTCTCCTGCTCGCAGAGATTTTCAGCGGTGACCAGAGGTGACAGTAAAGGGGTGCACCCCCCAAAAGACAAGGGGGGATATTTAAAGAATCATCAGGGACCTATTTAAAGAGCTGGCCTGGACTTTTTCAAGAGGGAGAGCTATTTAAAGGGGAGGTATTTAAAGAGCTGTTAATGGGCTGTTTAAAGAGCAAGGGACGAGCTATTTACTGGGGGGTCTCTTGCACGGCTGCTGTGTTCCCTGCAGCCACCCCCCACACAGACAGCCCCCAGCTCTCCTCCCCTCATGTTGCCCCCCCAGGGGTGGTAAGGTCAAGGGAGGATGTGAGCCTATTCTAGTCCTAGCCTTCACAGCCTCCTCTGGCAAGGAGTTCCACAGGTGTAGTCAACCTGTGGAACTCCTTGCCAGAGGAGGCTGTGAAGGCTAGGACTATAATAGAG